GTTCAGCCCAATACATAAAGACAAATGCCATGTGGCGTTGTCTGTTGCGTGCATATCGAAAAACAGACCAACCGAATGTTGCAGATCAGGGCTAAGGTTCTCGTCGTTTGCGAGTAAAAGTTAGGGGTTTAAAATGAGGCTACCACTAAGCTTAGACAACTGTCACTGCTGATAACACTTCGGACCCTGGAACTCTCTCATTCTAAATCTGTTTTAACATCCCACGACTCATCCTTTTAGTAAGTGCAATTTCAGACCGGAATGACAGAGGTCACCTACGTCTACGCTTACGGAGGCCACAAAGGAGTCGGGCACGTTAAAACGGACAAAATACAACGTATAGATGCGCAGAAACATTTAGGGTCAGGAAGAAAATTTTTTCTCATGGCGAAATTAGTGGCAATATAAAGAGCGAGGATTTGAACCACGAGACGACTTCAACGAGAAGGCTGAGTGCTTGGGCTGAAAGTGTGAAATCGGAGGAAAGTCCAGCGGAAGGTAACAAAACGAAAGTCAAAATACGGAATTCTGTAAAATGCAGGAGACCGAAACGAGCTTTCGAATTCAGTTAGTCGTCTAGGGGTGCTTGCCAGGCAATCTAAAGGGAACAGGTGTAAACAACAAGAATCAATTTTTCTGGCACATACGTGGGCTGGAGATTGTCTGGCGGAGCATCGTAATCGATCGAAAAAAATGAACGTCTATGATATTGTCGACATAATTTGGAAGGACGCAGGGTACCAGGGTAAGACTCGCTGGACACGTAGGTGTAAAAAGGGCCACTGTAAAACGTTAAGCTATACAATATAGCGGACATCAATTTATCTTTGGTTGAGCGTATGGGGCTAAAATGCCAATTGCCTGCGACTTAGGCTTGGGTCAAAAGTCGGCACGAATTGTCGGACGGGATGTGATATGAACGACTAATGAACAAAATATGTTATCCAATCTTCATCTATTCTACTAATCAAGCCCTCGTAAAGGCTTCCCTTGACTAACTGCTGCGACGTTTCTGCGTGAACCAGCAGATCAATTAACACAACAGTCTAAACTTAGGACTTCAAATCAAGGGCAAACTCAGAACTATGAAACTCCGGACACAGAATCTTGGGTTAAAGGAGAGTCTGTGCACAGAAGAGAAACAAAAGTTGGTTTTTGATAACAGAAATTTCAAAACCCAGGCACCAGCTGAGGCCGTTTTACCTGAGATGGAACACTGCAGATCATCGAGGAGCTTATCGATATCAACAATATTATTCATATAGTAGGGCGGCCGACAGCTTACACAACACAGTACTGATTTACCAAGACACGAGCAAGCAGTCGCCCCAGCGGCGATTAAGAGAACTCAATTACTCGACCTTAAATTCGACCCATTAAAACTATGTCAAAAATATTGAAGACGGATATTAAATTTCGTACGAACGCTAGTTGATGGAATGACGTTAGCTAATCGATCAGGTTGCAGAGACATGCTGTGTGGTTGTTTTAGGGAAATAAAACATCCGGGGTTGTCCGCTGTCGTGGAATTTGTCGATCATTTCCATGAACACTACTCGAGTGTTGAAGAAAGTGAAAGAGGAGTTTGAAGCTCCGTATTCTTGGAGACCCCTAAGTAAGAAGTCTGCAAAATTCGCCCAATAATCCCTGAGATCTAAACAGATTAATTTAGGAGTTTTTTCCCGTGTTTCTCCTGATTTTTGTAAATTCAATTGAATTGGATAGATAGGTTTTAAAGATTGCTGAAGAGACAGCGGTGAGCTTCAATTCTGATAGCTTTCGGAAGCGATCTCCTTGCAATATGGACTCACGATGAAACTAGTGGTGATAATTCCATTTTTGATGAGGGCCATCACAGTTAAGAAAGGGCATAGTCAATTATCATGTTACAAACAAATGATCGATGTTGTTCTTAAACCTGAATCACTAAACCTCTCAATGCGACGATAAAACGAGGTCTGTTGTGGTAAGCTGCATTGAGCAGGAATGGGTCCTTTTGTGTCTGCAGCGTATCCAGCCCGGGTCGTCAGGACATCATGCCACAAACGCGTTGTAACATCCCTGGACTTGGACAGAGTTGTTTGAATGTGTGAACACTTTTGGCGCGAGGACCTAGGGTCGAGATGGCGTAGTCGCGTGTCGGTGAAGATGACCGGTGTCCCTCCCTCTCTCTTCTGCCGATCCCTTTCCCCCTCGTCGTACCGTAACGTAACGTATCCTCCGTACCGCTCGCCTCCTCGCTACATCGGCATTCCCTCGGCCCTTCCCTGCAGTTGCCCCAAGCGCTGCGCTCCCCACCGGTTTACTAGCTGGCATGTTGGCATCGTCTCTCCACCCAGACAGGTCATTCCACATATGTAACCATCCTTCCTGTACAATTAAGATTATTATACGTTTTCCCCGTGCAGTCTCGTCATATTACACTTTATCCCTTATTCGACATGCCTTCTGCTTCTTCTGTGTATGGATGTGTATCAAGGAATGCTAACAGTTCCGTTCAGGTCTACCCCGGCCAAGATTTCTTCTCGGCGTTTCCTTACTCCGGTGTGTGCTACTCTTGACGTCCTCGGCAGCTACAGCGTGACAAGCGAACGATCAAAGTCATGACCCCTGTTCACACCTTCTTTGTGCTGATTGGCCACCCATCAGCCTAAGACAGTCGCACTTGCCATAACACCCGGCCGTTTCCACATCCTCCTTACTTATGCTATCTATCGTACTCAGCACACGTCCTATTTCCAATTAACCTTCTGTTTTGCATACATAACAGTGTCCTTGAGAAAGGATGTATACATAACGAGCTGAAAGCCTGAGCACCAAAAATTAGAGTGCGTTGATCAAAAATTTTACATCAACATCGGAGTTATTCGTTTTGGAGTAATTGCCGATTTCTGGGTCTGCCAATTAAAAGCCTATGAGTTACAACCTAGGGCATTGTGTAGGTCCATGCACCTTTTCGATTTTTCCGTTTACATTTCTTGTACACCTGAACTTTCTATACTGTTGTTTGAAAATCTTAACATACATACGCCTGGTTTCAGTCTACGGTAATGCGTGTCTTGTGTTTGTTTTCTACGTGATGTCATCGCTTCATTTATTGCGCTCATGTGCCTGGGCCCTACTTCGTCAAGTGTCACGAAACATTTCTATTTTTCGGTCGTATCTTGCCGGATGCGAATTTACCCGAGCAAGTTCCAATAATCGAATTCAGCTCGGAACCTTCTACGC